GCCCACGCGCCCCCCTGCCTGCTGCTGGCGGCGAACCAGAACCTTCAAGCACAAGCCCCTGATTCAGACCCAGCCCGCACTGCTGCAGACCCAGGACGGGCTCAGGCTGCAGCCCCAGAAGGTGACTTGCCCCAAACTATCCCTGCTGCCCATGCGTGGGGTCGGCGAGCATCCATCAGCCACGGGCGCTCGCCCTTGGCCTCCAGCAGCAGCTGGCACAGGGCAGCGCTGCCCACGGCCCCTGTGGGCGCTGCCTCCATGAACAAGCCCTGTCAGATGCCATCAGAGGAGCCGCACGAGAGGCCTGGGGCTTTCAGAGGCAGGCAAGCACGCGAGCAGCTTGCATGCGGCGCCAGCACCGCTTGGGGGCAGAGAGAGACCGTTTCATCCCTGCACACGGACGCAGCTGGGCGGCTTCTTGCAGAGCGGAGGGCTCCCTGCAGCCTCCCTGCATCCCATCTCCGCGCCCGCAGCACTATTCCAGGCACATCCAGAGGGACGGAGATGCAGGCTCCGGGAGGCAAAGGCGGCCGAGATGCCGGGACAGGGAGGAGGAGGAGGAGAAAGAGGAAAAGAATCCCTGCTTACCTGTGCTGGACACGCCAGCAATGTTACTGGGTTCGCTGATGAGATCCTGCATGACCGCGAGGACCCGGAACTCGTACCAAGTGTCCTGAAAGGGCAAGCACGCCCGTCACATCCTGCTGCTGGAAAACCAGCCCGGAAAGCGGCACCAGGCCCACGGGTGAGCTGGGCAGGCAGCCGCCGCTCACCTGGGACAAGTCCTTGGCAAAGAACTCGCTCTCGGTGCCCGGGATGCCGTCGTCCAAGATCTCCCACCGCTCCGCGACGCGGAACTCCATGATGTAGCGGTCGATGGGAAAGCTGTGGTTGGCGGGAGGAAGCCACGAGAGCAGGACGCCTTGCTGTGTCCGGTTGGCTGTGAGGCACCTCGGTGGGGTAACCAACACCAGAGGCTCTGGAGTTGTTACGGGGAATGCTAGAGGAGACGGGACAGGCGCACCGGTGAGGTGGGCTTAGGGAGAGCACAGAAATGCATCCTTCTCTAGATCCATATCCGCTAGGAACCTCCCAGGGCTCCCCAAAAGGCATCATCCTGCTTGGACCACCAGTGTAACAGCACTTCCCGCCCGCCTGGAGTTTCGGACAATTTCCCACGCACATTTTCTCAGAGACACAGAAGTGCCTTTCCAAAAAGGGGGAAATAAAAACGTAAGGATGCTAAGAGAAAGGGGACCGTGTTAGAAAATCTCCTCCTTCCTCTGACCTACTTGTGAAACAGCCCCAAGGCAGGCACCCTGTACAAGGGCCTCCTCGTGATGGCTCCTTTCCGAGATGCACATGAGCGATCTCGCACTCTATTAATAACTCCTGACCCAAGTTTCACTTGAGGAAGAGCTGAAAAGTGACTGGCATCACGGTGCAGCTCTCCAGAGCTGCCTCGTGGGACGAGCTGTCTGTAGCGTAATGCATCCAAGGGCCACAAGCCTCATCCCAGACACTCCATGAACTATCCCCCATGCACTGAAGGTCCTCAAGCTTCATTCCAGACCGTGAACTGTCCCCCACGGCTCCGTTGCCATCTCCATCCTCAGCAGACGCGCCGAGGCCATGCGGTCGTGCTGCTCCTCAGCCCTCCCAAGCCCTCCTCCTCCTCCTCCTCCCGTTGACCCAGCTCACCTAGAGTGTTCACAGTGACCACCTCGCTGAAGGAGCTGGTGCCCAGCTTGTTCTGAGCCAAGACACTGAACTGGTAGGCGGTCTCCGGTTCTAGGGTATCCACCAGCAGCCAGCTGGACCCAGCCGGCACGGGGAGAGACAGCCAGTCGTGGGGTCCAAACTGCGCCCGCTTCATCCTGCCGAGAGAGACGGGGACGGCCCCTCAGGGGAGCTGCCTTTGACGAAGGGGCCAAGTCAACTTCTCAAAGCAGCAATGGAGCTTTCCCGAGCGATGGTTTGGTACCAGCAACGCGCGTGGACACGGGGCTCACGCTCCAGCCTGATCGCTGGCACCGTGACTGCTGGGCAGCGAGCGAGTCCCCGCAGCTCTGCCTGCCAAACGCCCAACCCAAACGCGCACTTTGCCTCATCTTTCCTCCTGGGAGGGCTGCAGAGCAGCAGCTGAACCCTGTTCTCGACTGCAGCTCAGCAGGAGAGCCAAGCTCCCCAGGCTCCCGTTTGCCCCTCAGCCGCACGCGTCGGCGCGGCGCTGCAATGATATTGCAAGCATCAGTCACCTCCCCGCTCGCGTTAGACACACGTCCTCGAGGGAAGCCCGGCTGCAGAGCCCCCACTGCAGAGGGTTTGCTCTGCACCGACACAGAGGCACCGCCGTACAGGCACGAGTCCTCTCCCACCACACGGGAGGCACGAGATGGAGAGGAGAGAGATGGGTAACGCCGCTGAACGGCAGCGAAAGGCGGGCGGGTAGAAGCGGCAGCAAGCTATGGAAGCAAGCGAGGGGGAGCGGCGCCGCTGCGGCCGGGACTACAGCTCCCAGGGTCCCCCGGCGCGCAGGGCAGCGCCATCGGGCACGCAACGCAGCTGGGTCCACGGGTCACCCCCCGCAGCAGGTCGCCAGTTTTGGGCATCTCCCCAGGCAGGATGGGGTCGTTTCTACCGTGTCACGCTTCTCCCGGGGACTGGAGTGGAGACTCACGCAGCACAGGCGTGTGTGGAGCAACCAAGAGCATCCCCAGCCACCCCGCAGTGCCAAGACAGCACCAGGAGCGCATTGAGGTGCCCCCCCGGTCACTCATCCGTAGGAACCGACCCATTGCCACCTCCCACATCAGCACGGGCATCACATCGGCCCCGGTGCCAGCGAAGGGCCCGGAGCGCCGTCCTCCCACCACCCGCCCCGCGGCGAGAAGCTCGGGCTGAGTAGGAAGGAAAAGAAGCAGAGAGCAAAAGCATGCCGGGATGACTCACAGAGGGCCGTACCAAACTGAGAAAGTCTGCTCGTATCCGCCGTCGTAGCCGGGCTCCCAGGAGACGTTGGCAGAGGTCATGGCAACCCCGACGTGCACGCCGGTCGGGGCGTGAGGGCTTGTGCCTGCCGGAGAGAGCGCTATTGGAGGCGGCCAGGGACGAGGCACGCCGCCCCACGCCAGGGCTGCATCCCGCCGGGAAGCGCGAGCCCACCCGGGAGCGAGGCGCCTACCTACGACTGTAAGGTGAGTGCTGGCAGTAATGCTGGCGACGACATTGGTGGCGATGCACTCCCACTCGCCGTGGTCGTCCTTGCCGAGGGAGCGGATCTGCAGGGTGCCGCCGGGCAGCGTGGTGTGCTTGCTCCTGCTGGGCTTCCCTACCTTGGGCAAGGAGCGGGGACAGCGGGGCGACACACAGGAGACGCGACTCAGAAGCGGGCCGCGCGGGCCAGGCTGCGGCCAGGCTACGCGCGCGCTCGGCCAGGCCTCCGGCCTCTCTTGTCACCCCAAAAGGGCCGATTTGCCCCGTTTTGGGAAGACCCGACACCTGCTGATGCTCACAGCTCGTGCGCGAGCAAAGGGCCCCGCTGTGGGCCCTTGAAGCAGCATCAAATGCACCGGGCCGATGCTTCATCGTGAACCCTTTCCCGCTCGGGAGCCTCGGAGAGCACCCGGCAGCACGGCATGCGCAGAGGTGCCTGGAGAGCTCGCAAGCTGAGCGGAAAGATGGACCGCGGAACAGCTCCTGTTTACACCCGTTATCCGGAGCGGCGTGAATCCCGCATCGCTCCGAGCCCCTTCCTTGCCGTTCACGCAC